GTTAACCAGAAAAATTAGAGATAATCACCCATATGAGAATATGATTAAACCTAGAGACAAAAATGGAGTATAAGGAGAAAGAAGACAGATTAAAAAAAATAAGTAAAAGGCAATAAAAGCAAAAACAGAAAATAAATCAGCGAAAAAAGAGGAAAAATATTATAGAAAACAAAATCTTTTAGTGTCCACTGAGATCCCACAACTACTGGTTATCATTGCCATTCCTACAGTAGAGTTTGTGCTATATGTTAAGCTGATCTTGGCCTTCAGATGTGGGTGCATTGGCCACCGTCCTCAGTTGATACTTTTTGTATGTCTATTAGCAAGCAGCCTTCCAACTCTTACCCTGTTTCTCTCAGCATATCTCTCTCAGTTGCTGTGGTGCTTATAGATAGACAAGTGACTGCTTCCAGTCTCTTGTACAGTTGGCACCTTACTCAAATTTCTATAGTCCTCTTCTACTGGAAAATCTCTGTCTTCTCCTCTTATTTATTATAGAGCGGGGTGATGTCATATTTTGTGGTTTTTGCAAGGGAAAAATACAATACAGGACACATTTTATAAGATTTTTTTATAATCACCCAAACAATCATATACAGAATTGCAGGAAATCTATCTACATACTAAAGACTGAAGAATCCAGCTGAGGGCCTGAATCCTAATATCCTTCATGAGTCCAGCTGAAAACATAGAGCTCATAACAATGCCTCCTACAAGTCCAACTGGATGCCTAGAGCCCACGACATTGCTCACACAGGCCTGTCTCACAGATCTGTGGTAGGAAGGCCCAAGGTCAGTGGTAGAAGTTAAGAAATCTGTGCCAGTGGGATGAAGGATCTGTGCTAGCAGGCTGAGGGATCTGCACTGGAGCCATTACACAATGCTCAAAGTAAGAATTTGAGCTCTCCTGAAAAGTACCATGCCATTTTCAGCAACAGTGAGATCTCAAGCTCCTCTAATTCTGAGGAAAGCTGAGTTCTCATCAGGAAAGTAAATATGACAAGCTTCTCCAAAAGGCTGAACTGTGCACCATCATCCCCCTCCTGAGCCAAACAGTGATGCTCAGGGTGAGAACAAGAGCTCCAAAAAAGTGAACCATAGCCATCTTTAGGGACAGAGAGGTCCAGGGCTCCTCCTCCAACAAGAACAACCAAATTTAACAGGAAAGACAGCATGAGGAGAATAGCAGAATAGCCCAAGAGAACCACCTCTCTGAACTGCTCCAACAGCTTCTCCTAACAGCTTCCCTAATAGCCTCTCAACAACTTCTCCAGTTTTGCCTCTTATGCTGCTGTCAACAATCCTCTGGTGGGCCTCCCAACCCCAGCATCACTCTATGCCAATTCAGTTGGGCATAAATAGTTGATCACCAGTTAGCAATCCACAACAGGTGGGATGCTCTGATGTGGTTTAACCCTTTGCTCCTGACGGTGTTGTCCTAGGCTGTTCAGTCACAATTCTTACTCCTCTCTTAAAGGAGAAGTGCTGACTTCACACTTGTTGCTTTGCAAGGTCTGTGACCATCACCACCTGCCACTGCTTTAGTTTGTAACTTCATCAGGTGTGATGGCTTGAGGTGCTCTGTGGTGCTTTTATGCTCCTCTCCCAAGAATGGGGATGGCCACAAATTTCAGACTCCTGCAGTACAAATTTGTTTAATTCTTGTGTCTCTCTAGCCCAGGGTGGGGGTTAGTACACATCCCTGTAGACTATAATCTTGCTCTTAGAGGCTCCAGTTTGCACTATTGTGGTCAAAAGGGGAGCAAAGGAAAGAAAATAAAAGGCAAAGAAAAAAAGATAGAAAGCTTGCTGATCATCAGAGAGGGCTCAGTTCACTCAATCTTGTGTGTGCTGTAGAATTTATTATATATTCAGCTACAGGATTCTCTGTTTTCAGGGAGGCAAAAGAGACAGGTGCTGTATATTCTAAGTCTGCATGGTGTGACATGGTTTTAATATATTAATAAATCTATTTAGTATGTCCTTTCTGTTTTCTCTTTTTATGCTTCCAAGTATGGCAGGCAAACTTCTGTGATGTGGATACTCAGTGCCAGTTGGGTGGGCTGGCTAGCTGTTTATAAGTCCTTTATCTGTGTTTTGCTTGATCTACGAGTTTTTTAAATTTTAGATCAGTTTTGATTTCAGGATGTATATCTCTCCCCTTTCTCCCAATTGCCTGTGTTTCTAGTTGAATTTGTCTGAGTAGCTCTGAAGTTTCTCCTCTTTTCAGCCATGCTGTGAGTCCTGTTTTTGGATTCTGTCTGCTGACATTCCATTTATAATTTTTCTCTGTGTTCATGATGGATATTAGCTTAGATGCTTCCTTGACTTGCAGCAACTTTTCCACATTATTGTTTCAAAGTTAGGATAGCTGCAAGAAATGAATGCTCAAAGGTTCTTTTCAAATTGTGTTAAAGTGGAATTTTGCCTTACATAAAGTTGGAAGAATCCATCATAAATTCAATTGTGTTTAGAATTTTATTGGTGCTTATATTTAACTTGTAGAACACATGCAAGATTTTTATTTTAAGTTTCTCTTGTATCAGTTTTTAAAATTGTGTTTTCATATAATGGCTCTATTATCAACATTAAATTTTATTTTACAGGGCATACGTAGTATCCTCTTTAACTACTGTCAATGATGGAAGTATTTCTTCATATGTATGTTTTAAGAATATAAAGTACTCCTCTTTAAAGATGTCTATCCTATGTTCCTTGTACCTGTGTCCCAGTCTAGCTGGTGTGCAATCGACATATTTTTCTTGTTTTCCTTCTATATATAAACAGATGAATAGAGACTCATACACTCTGCTCATTCTTTTGCTGCCATCATGTAGCAAAAGGTAGGCTGGTGGCACTCTCATGTAGCACTGTCTGTACCTGGACACATTATAAACACCACCTCCTGCTGCAAGTTGGGTGACCCTACAATGCTTGTTTAATTCTCATCGTTTTATCTAGTTCTGTAATGACAGCTGTGTCTGCTGCTTCCTGTCTTTAAAATCACAAGTAATGGTGAAGTGCACATGATGAACATTGAACATTTTCTCACGTAAATAAATGTAACTATGGGATTTATTTATGAGAAAGAACAGGGGCTGGAGAGATGGCTCAGTGGTCTAAAGCACCTACTTGAAACAAGCTTGGCAAAGCACAGGGACCTCGGTTCGATCCTCCAGCACCACATGCCAGCCAGCCCCGCCCCCTGGTGGGCTGAGCTGGCCACACACACACACACACACACAATAAATGTAATAAATAAAAATAAATAAATTAAAAAAAAGAGAAAGAACAATTACAACAGGAACACACTGAAATCAAAATTTATACCTATTCCTCATTTTGTTGTTAAATTATTCACAATTTTTATTTGAAAAGTATGTCCCTTTGCAGTGGATGAGAGCCCTGGTCCCTAAAGTCTCAATGATGTTTTGCCATTAAATATGAAATTTTGCCAATTATTTTGGTGAAATTATTGTCTTAAAACTGTTTTATTGCATAGTTCTCAATCATAGAGTCTCAGAATTCAACCTAATGGGTTTCTAGACTAGAGATGGTAAAATGTTTGTTTATTTTTTTGTCTTGCTTTCTTCCTCCTTCAGAAAGGCCTGCTCCTGTGGGTTCTAACACTCAGGGGTATTTGCCACACAAGTCTCAGTGACTTACAGCCTGGTCACATTGCCATATTTCTTTTGTTCTTTTTTTCTCCTTATGTAGATAACTGGGCTCATGTTGAGGTAGGAAACTGTCTTCTTGGGTGAGCTTCCTATTCTGTATATGTGATATCTTTGGCCAACAACAAGATTTAGTTGAAAGTTATGACATCAATTTATTTTTATTTAATGCATTACCTTCCTCACTGCTGAAACAAAATATTTGACACCCAAAGTTAAAGAGAAAAGATTTATTGTAGCTCATAGTTTGTAGATTTTTTAGTTCATATTTAGCCAGCTCCAAGGTAGGCTGCTATGGCAGAGGGACATCATAATGAAGAAAGGGTTCATGCAGACAACAGGCACCAGAATAAAACTGCAAAGTACTGAAGTAACAAGCAGTAACTGACAGACAACACTTCTTATATCCCTTATATTCAATCCAAGATACCTTAAAGTGGACTTACACCCAGGGTACAGCACCGTTAATCCTAGCATTGGACCATGATTCAATCCCGGCATTTTACACTTAATCTCTGCATCATATATGCTAGGTTTACCTCTGAAAATCCCCACCTATGAGGATTTGGGAGGATATATAGACCCAAGCCACGACACCTAATATATGTGTTGTTCTTTTCATCATTCTCTTTTAATGTTCAAGAAAGATAGACACTAATAGCTATACAATTATAAAGACAAATAACACATCAAAGCAATGGTTAAATGAAGTCTACAAGAAAATCATCTTCCTTCTTTCTTAGATACCCTGGGCCAGATTTAGATTGCCTAGTAAATGACCTCTTTATGTAAAATAACAAAGTGAAAGCCATTTCCCTGATGACCACTGTGAAAACATGCACTTGACTATGAACACTTCCAACATTTGGGAATTCCTTTAGCCATTGTGTCCGAAAACACATGGCTGGGTTCAAGTTGGGACAAACTCACAAACTGTTTCTATCCATTTCCTAAATGAGCCAGGAAAAGACAGACAGGTAAATTTCCATAAGACACAGACCTCCACAGAATACTAAACTGATCTCCAGGACACCTCATCTGGTACAGCCTTTGCTGTGCAGGAGCCTGGGACACATCCCCAGTCCCCCCGCCCTCTGCCCATCACTCAGCATCACACCTGCATGGTGCTCTGGTGATTGCTCAGTCTCCTTGGTTCTCACAGGAGTTCCGTTTCTGTCAGTGTTTGCTTCCCAAGACCTCATATCAGCATTCTGCACTGAAAAGATACTTCTAATTGATGCTGGATGAAAATAATTTTTAAATCACAGTCTGTTTGTTGGAAAGAATTTCTGAGTAAAATATACAACTAAATGCAAACCTTCAGTTTCATAGAGTGTTCACGTTGGAGGGACTTTCCCCAAGATCTCTGTGTCTGTGCCAGCGTTTAACCATGTGGGTATCCCGGCTGATCAGAACAAAGGGGCTGAAAATTGCATAACCAACTCCTAGAAATATTTTAATATTTAGTATTGTGAACTCATGTGTCACAGTTGAGCCTGTGTAGAAGGAAAAAGTAAAATCTGCCCAATAAAAAAGAAGGAAATAGGTCATGAGAATGAGAATACTTAGAGTCGCTCTGACTTCTGGGCTGGAATTGTTTGCAGGGCTGGAGTTGTGCAGGTAGAGGACACGCTTGTGATGCTCATGCAGACGTACTGCCATGTACCCGCTGCTCCAGCCCATGAGACTCTGGAAGACAATGTCCCGAAGAGTCATGAGAGACAGAAAAAGCCACCTGACTGCTTGCCTAGAGGGCATCATGTAACAATACCCAACATGGATTTTAGTAACAGACCTGTTGATGCTATTTAGTGCTCTGATGTAGTGGAGCAAGTTGGAGCTGATCAGGAAATTTAAGAGCCAAAAGAAGAGGAGACAGGAAAGGACTGGCCATTTTCTCTGTGGTTTGAGCTTTGTCCACGGCGTGTTCACAGGACTGATGGTGATGGCTTGGACCACACTGAGAAGACAGGTCGTGCAAAGGGAAAGGCCCCGGGCCACCCTTCCCAGAAAAATCACGACTTTACAACCAACATTACCTAAGGAGTAATGAAAATGAAAAGGTGATCTTATATAGGAGATTCCAGAAGCCCAGAGTGTCATCGCATTAGCGAGTGCCAGTTGGATTACAATAAAGTCCGTGGATTTCTTCTCAGTCTCCACATGTAAAGTGTACAGATGTTTCACAAACAAAAAGAAATTCCCTGCAATGCCAATTCCAGTAAGAGAAAGGAACATTATTTTCCGGATAAGGTTACTCCCATCATCTTGTGAATTCATGGAGAAAAACAGGAAGTATTTTTGGAGGAACAGAAATTAGTGAGGAGGAAATGTTTCAGTTTGTGGCTTCTCTCTGGTTCACTAAAAGGAAGAGAACAGTGGCAACACTGGAGTGTGTAATATGTGACAGTCTTGTGCATGCATGCATTCTCCTCCTCCTCTCATTCTTTGTGTTCCTTATTTATCTGTGACTTTATAGATTCACGAGCTGCCATGATTATAACATCTAACATTTTGAGGTCTTTATTTCTCTCCTGGCGCGCGCGCGCGCGCACACACACACACACACACACACACATATATATATATATATATATATATATTCCACTTGATCAATTTCCTAAAGCAGTTAATTCCGCCTCTATTCCTGCATATCGATGTCTAGATTCCACAATCTACCCAGTTTAGCTTAGTCGGAAACACTGCGCTTCTCTATTTAGCTCTCAGCACTGTGTACATTCTTCCCTCATCTGCTCTGAATGCTGGCTGCGACAGTCCCCAGCCATCTCTGGAGAACTGACTCTGCCAAGTGAACCAGCCTAGCTCTGAATGTAGGATAATTTTTTTCTCCTTGCTCTGATATTTTTGGATAGTTAGTGACAGGGAAGGCCTCATCTGTAGGTGCCTGTTTTGTGAAAGTCTATTCCATGGTTTTATAGATTGGAGGTTGTTGTGGAACTTTATTAATGGGACAATATTTAGAGGCTGTTTTTTTTTTTTTTTACCTTACCCACACTTATTATCCTGCCCTCTTCCTCTAACTCTGCAGTAAATCATGTGAATACAGATTTCATTTTCAAAATATGCTCTGGCCACTTTTGCCAACGCCAGTATTTTACTGATGGTGTCTCTTAACATTTTCTAACTTTTAAATGTCTTAATAAGTATATTTACTTTAATCTCATCATTGCTCTCCCTTTAGGGATTTTCATCTTCAATGAGATTATAAAACAGAAATTTATTTATTCAAATCTAAGTCTTCTTATACCTCGATTGATTTGTTTGGTCCAAGTACATTTGTAGATTGATCTGTGAAATCTTTATTCCTTTGACCTCATTGCTTTCCTATGAAGTTTGGGCTGAATTGTTAAGGCACATTGCACTTTTGCAAAGCAAATGAGATTGGTCCATAGTTTAGCCATAGGAATGTGCAGGAAGTCCCTCTGGGAATCTCTGTCACCTGCTGCCACACATCTTTTCATAGTTCACTCCTATTCACTCCCCACAAACCAACCTGGACTCATTTTCCATGACGAATACTTGTGGTCCCTTTGCACTCTGCTGCCTGCTGCTGTTTCTCCCTTGTCTTTCACCACTTCCCTGTGTACACCGCTTTCCTTTTATTGTCTCAATGATCTGAATCCGTATCTGCAGAAAACAGCTTATCAAATAATCATAGAAGGCTTGGAGTTACAAGTGTAGTTGTAAATTGCAATGCCGTAGGAAAAATTAGGGGACGGTTGTGGCAGGTGCCCTTTGAACCACATGATTATCACTGTGACTTTCGGTGCAGACATCATGAAAACACCCCTCCATTCCTGTTCAATGACACATGACTTACCAACTTCATTATCTTGTCCGATGAATAGAGTGGTTTGATTCTTATAAGCAGGTACTCTGAAGTTCCCATCCTGTCTTCCCAATTCCTAACTGCAGACTCCCTGACCTCTCCAAGACCAAGTATTTCCACTTGTAAACTGAGGGTAATACCATGTACTGCCTTGGGCTCTGGTGAGGAGAAGGTGAGGCCTTAGGCAGTGCTTATGTCTGTGCTTGGTAACAAGGAAAAACGGTTCAAAAGAGCTGTATTGCTGCTCTGCTTTGTGCTCCATGTACACATCCTTTTACAGTCAGCCATTCACCATAAGAGCATATCACAATTAGACTGGAAGCTGGATGTGAGTTTAAAGGGACAATGCAGAGTAAATTTTAAAAATTGTTAGACATATTCATAAAGAGGCAGGCGTATGACATGTAGCACACCAGACAGAAGACATAGCCCAAATAAAAAATAAAAGTACAAATTCCTCTATTGTGATGTGGAAACACAGAATGGTGGCAGAGAGATTACAGAGAAGCAGTGCTTCCACACAGCCAGTGAAATGCCGTAGGGGACCCCAGTCTCCTATGCCCTCCTTGTCCTGTATAAAAGGAATAGCTTCTGGTACAGTGTGCTAGGAATGCGGCTGAACAGGGCTCCCTCATGGAGAAGTGAGACAGAGGTTTCCAGATGACATTTGGGAAGTGATGGTCTTCCAAATGTCCTGGCACATGCATTTTCCAAAAGTGACAGGACTCAGACCCTTCTGTCCCCCACCTGATATAGACCAGCCCTGGCAGCTTCCCTTCCAAAGTCCACGGCAGCCCCAATCCACAGAAACAAGTGCACTCACCTGCACATTCTGAGCAGCTCAGCACAGGGTGGGAGTTCTGTTACAACAGTACCAGCCAGGCCCTGTTTATCCTTCTCTGAGTCACAAGGCCCATAGTTGTCATTATGTAATTGTCACAAGTCTTGACTTCATCAGGGAAAAGGGGCTCCTTCTGTTCCAGCTCTATCCCTGGGGAACCACCCCGCTGCTTTCCCTGTTGTTCCGTCATGTGCTGAGTTCATAAAGTTCATGAGATTAATTTGCTGCAATGAATATAGGCAATGTAATTAGGTGCAGATTCTGCGTATTTTTAAATCCATCATATTCTGTAATTATTCTGTTGTTATTCTACAGTTAACTGAAGTGTCTGTGTATCTTAAAATTCATCACATTCTCATTCCATCTTCTCCACTCATGATTGGAACCAGGAACCAATTTAGAAGAAGCTGAAAATCTGAAGTGGTCACTTTTTGAAAATTTTCAAAGTACCTTCTCCCTTGAAATGTAAAGGCCATGAAGCATTAACACTGGGAACTACCATTGAAGTGTAAGGTATAGACAAGGTAGAAAGGGGACTTCTAGAGCTGGTATGGTAGATCTCTTGGCCTGAGTGTGGGCTGTGTGCATGATTCAGTTTCTTCACCTCAGTGAGGTCTTTGTTTAGGATTTCTCAAATGGGTTGTGTGGGGAATTACTCAGACTATGTCAGATCTTTGGGCATAAAGGATGATTCTGGACAACTCTGAGGACATGGCACTATAGTCAGTGCCAATGCACATAGGGGCATAATTATATAACCATGACTTAGCAGTGAGAAATTATTCTTGCACCAATCAGACCAGCAAATAAGAATGTAAATAGGTGATAACATCCTATATAAAAATATACAAACATGATGCATTTGAGACCTCTATAGTAAGCCGTCAATTTCATACGAGGCATGATGGCACATGGTGAGAGATAAAGAGCAAGAGACAAAATGTCACTACAGTGGAGTTGAGCTGGTCAGTTGTTCATGAGGAACAGAAAGCCACAAGGTCATATCCTTGACATTTATTGCTTAAGGAGAGGATTATCGGATGACTTGGAGGGTGGAGGAAGTCTTGTTTTAAGAAGGATTTTGCCATGTAGTCTTTAGTCTTAGTATGTTTAGTGTTAGTGTTAGTGTTAGTGTTAGTGTTAGTGTTAGTGTTAGTGTTAGTATTAGTGTTAATGTTAGTATTAGTATTAGTGGTCTCAGTAGGAAAGGATAACCACCACTAAGGTGATAATGGGAAACAGTAAAAGGGTGATACCAATAATCTCAAGTCTCCATTCATCCCTTAGGGAAGAATGAGAAACTAGACATTGTGGTGTCCAACGTATTACCCTTTTTGTTTTTGTAATTGCAGCAGCTGAACAGCATATAGACTATGAGGGTCATCAGCAACAAACACTCTCAGGAGTATATGGGAGGGCCTGTCACCTCACCAGCATGCAAGACTCCTGCATTGTCTTCTTCAGTTCTCCCCTTGTCCTGGGATTTGTAGCCTGTGTGGATCTCTATGTTTACTATGCTGTTTTTTCTCCAGGATTATCCTCAAGAATGCCCCAATTGTAGGAATGACTGGGAACGGGCTCCACCACAGGGCTGGGAAGTTCCTCTCTCCATGGTCACATGTTCTGGGAGGGCAGCCATAATAGTGTTCCACTGTCTATTAATACACAAGCACATCCTAGACCCTATGGTGTTACTGACACAGGCCACCTAACTTTCCTGTTCAGATTACTTCTGTAGGACTTGAATCCTATGCATGCTTATCAGATTTACCCTTTTGTCAATAAAGTTCTGATGGAGGACATTTACTTTCAACCAGGTTTAAAAATTTTAAGGTAAAGATAGCAAAATCTAATTGTGCATGTGGAGGTAATCACATTTCCCTTGTTGTTTTTGTAATTGTAACTCCAAACACAGTTGTCTCCTGTGCTGACCTTTCCAAGGTCAGTTTAACTGCTACAATATTTCTAAATAACTACAATATTTCTAAATAACTATGGTATCTATAAAATAACACATTGAAGACACTTCCTTAGCTGTGGTTAGGGGGAAATGGGCATAGTTCTCATCTAGTTTCTTTTTTTCTGGTTAACTTTATTGAAAATTAATAATTATATAGCATATTAAAATTGTAGAAAAATATTGAAATGTGAAAGATATGAGATGTAGACAGAGTGGATTTTAGAGAAATATTTCTGCAATGACTACATAGCATGAACTTTATAATAGTTTCATATTGTAAATAATTTACAAACTTAAATGAATATAACAATAAAATTGTCTAAAATAAAAATGAAGAAGAAAGAATTTACAGATCAGTCATATAATAGTTCACTCTTTGCCAAATTCAAGAAACTTATATTTAGATAATCAGAATTCTGAAAGTAGAGGGGTGGGCAATAAATATTTAAAGATTGAAATTTTCTGAATTTAGTTGAAATTATAGCACCAAACTTCCAAGAAAAATTAATAAAATCTTTTTTCTTTTGCACAAGAAATATGAATAAAATCATACCAAGATACACAAAAATGAAATTGTCCAAAACTAATTATAAAGAAAAAGATAATTAAAGAATATACATAAAAATATT